CTTGCTCCTAGTAGTGAGGCCAGGAGCCCCTAGTAGCGTCCTTGCTCTGCCAGGAGCCCCTAGTAGCGTCCTTGCTCCTAGTAGTGAGGCCAGGCAGGAGCCCCTAGCAGCGTCCTTGCTCTGCCTGGTGCCCCTAGTAGCGTCCTTGCTCTGCCAGGAGCCCCTAGTAGCGTCCTTGCTCCTAGTAGGGAGGCCAGGAGCCCCTAGTAGCTTCTTGTTACTCCTAGTAGTACGCTAATTATATACGACTGTTCTTTGCACTAGTCGGCGGGGATGCAAACAGCTAAGCTTGAAAAGGTCTACTAACGACCAGAATGAAATGCAGAAACTTCTTGCGGTTTGGAATCATGCTCTTCCAGTGTCTTAAGCTTTAGGTGGGGTTTACAAGTCAGTGTTTGCTGCATTTTTCAAGGTGACTTGGCAATGTTCTATTGACTATCATTGAGCTGTTGTTTACGGTGGTGTCAGTTGGTGTGCACCACAAAATCAAATATCAGTGACGAGCTCTGTCATGCAGTGACCAGGACTACCGACACACTTAGATAGTGGATGATAGTGGGTTTTGAGAGTTTTTCGATACCTTCACTGCTGCAAACACGTTCGATCTTGACCACAACTTTTCTTCAAGGCAATCGATGGGAATCTGCACTAGAATTGGTCAGCAACATGAAAGGCATGCAGTTGCAGGTCAATGAGAGACTTGACTCAGTTTTCATGCAGGCCTCTGCAAGCCCTGCCCATGCAAAAAATACATGAAGTGCATTCTATTGAAATTCTTGAAATGCATCAATGTGAAGTCACGCCTTTCATCCACACTTGCACTCCGTTTTTAAAGCCGGTCAAGTTAGGATTGTCTACAGCGCCGTCATCAGTGCTTGTGAAAAAGGTGAACAATGGCAATGGGCAATGTCCTTGCTTCAAGAGATGCAGCAGCTCATTTGCGGAGGGGTTACTACTAGCGATGCACTTGTTACTATTAGCTGTGGTTATCATCACGTCATTGGAACTGAGATGGTATATTCGGCGAAAGGGATGCATGATTTGAGGCTCGAGCAGCTACATCCTGTTGTCGGCTACAGCTCGGCCATCTCAGCCTGTGCGAAGGCAAGCAGATGGCTGGAGGCCGCAGCGGCCACAAAATCTACACCTCAAATGTGATTGGCTCCAAAGAACTGGCTGCAATTGACAAATTAGCGCAAAGATTCCCTTCTTTACTCCAAAGTGCTCTGACGCCAGGCACTTGCAGTTTTGACGCAGATGATTCTCGGAAGGATCGTTTTGGCTTAACTTTTCCTGTTTGGGAGAGTAAGAGAGGCTAGCCAGCAGTTGCCATCCTACTAGCAATGGCCTCCAACCTAGAAGCGATGGCCTCCAACCTAGAAGCGATGGCCTCCTCCAACCTGGAAGCGATGGCCTCCAACCTACTAGCGATGGCCTCCAACCTACTAGCGATGGCCTCCTCCAACCTAGAAGCGATGGCCTCCTCCAACCTTGAAGCGATGGCCTCCTCCAACCTACTAGCGATGGCCTCCAACCTAGAAGCGATGGCCTCCTCCAACCTACTAACGATGGCCTCCAACCTACTAGCGATGGCCTCCAACCTACTAGCGATGGCCTCCAACCTACTAGCGATGGCCTCCAACCTACTAGCGATGGCCTCCAACCTACTTGCTTCCAGGTTGGAGGAGGCCATCGCTTCTAGGTTGGAGGTTATTGCTATTAGGTTGGAGGCCAGGTTGGAGGCCATGGGATCTCTTTAGGTCTAGCCAGCAGCTGGAATCTTCATCAGTTGCCTTCAACGCAGCCATCAGCGCATGCCGGAGATCTTGGACTCAAGGCCTGTACTTGTTGCAGACGAAGCGGCTGCACCTCGGTCGCTTCAAGCCTTTTGCGACCTGTTGCGCGATACAACAGTTTTGAAGAGCAAGACTCTGGTTTTTCTTGTTTTTTTGTGTCTTTCCATAGTCATTTTTGCTTCTTTATTAACTGTATTGCTTTATTTTGTGCCTGCTAACAACATTTTCTAATCGACAAGCCTGTCTCTACCAGATAGGTCTTTTCAGTGCTCCCGATGGCTTAGGCTGGCGCTGGATCTGCAGGGCATGAACTTCGGTGCCTCGCTTCTGTTTCGATGAAGCGACGGAAGAAGCGATCCAAACCAAATACACCCGGTGTGTTTTTGTGGCAATGTTTGACAATGAAAGAACTATTCTTTGCGGTCTTTGTTGTTTGATATTAGAAACAAGAAGCTACTAGTAACAAGTGCCTTACTAGTAGTAACAATGTTTGCTAATAGAAACAAAAAGGTCTCTGAAAGACTCCGAAAGACTGAAGTCGATTGAAGCCGCATAAGGCTCAGTGGTAAGCGCTATGAAGGGAAGCAGCCAGTGGCAACGAGCGGGCCAGCTCCTGGCGGAGATTTGGCACATTTGGGGCACCGATCGATTGCAAGGACTCGGGTTTTGCAGAGACTTCCCGTGGTAACTAGGGAAATAACGTGACGGAGAAGATGGAAACATGTCGTGCCTCAGTTCCGCAGCTTCAACATTCTACTTGTACCTTGTGTGGCATACGCTGCATACGCCGCGGACTCGCTAGAGCCGCTAGAGCTGCACGCCCAGGACCTTTGGGAGCTCTGGAAGGTGTTGAAGTCTTGGCTTCAGCGCCAGGTCTCATTGCAGTGTTCAAACCTTCAGGCCACGGGTGGAGGGCGAGCTGTCGCTTGTACACTTGAAATTTGGGTCGCTTGTGCACTTGAAATTATGGTCGCTTGTACACTTGACATTTGACCACTGTCCGAACATGTCGTCACGAAACGCTTTAGGTTGGTCGGTCTTACACTGAGCATACATTGAAAACCGATGAGGGAAACCCAAGACCGAGGTCTTCCATTGAGCATACATTGAAAACCAATGAGGGAAACCCAAGACTGATGCCTCTGTATCATACATCGGATAAGTACTACTACTACTACTACCACCAATCGTACGGCCACTACTAGTAGTGCATGCCACTACTACTACTGCCACTACTGCTACTACTACTACTACGACGCTTACTACGGAATAGAATCCTGTAGAATATCGACAACCGAGTTTGTACGTGTGTTCTCTGTGACTTTTCCAAATTTTTGGAGTGATGAACATTCTAGGAACACTTGCGTTTGTGGTGCAGTTTTGGTTTGGATGACTCTGCCAGAACAGAGTCACCTAGCATTGGCGCCAAAGACACTGAGAGACATCTTGTTGTTATGTCAAAACACCTTCCAGTCCTGGTTGTACACATTCACTACACAATCAACACACCCACGCTGAAACATTTTGCATGATCCCCAACCCACTCATTATAGTTTGCGCGCGCAAGTGAGTTTGTATGGCAGAAGTATGCTTTGAAAGGCAATCAAAACGTGAGTGCGTGCGTGTGCGTGTGTGTGTGTGTAAAGATGTTGACCTTGTCCAACTTGGCAATCTTTTCAGCAGTTCAGAGTCCCTTTGTATGGTTGGCAACTGCAACCCCCCCCCACCCCCCCACCCCACCCCCCACCCCAACCCATTCACTAGTTGCATGTGGAGTAGGCACCACCCGTTGCTAGGAAGCAGGTAAGTGCGCAAGTGACCTAAATTTTTGATGCCAAGTGCGCAAGTGACTCAAAGTGCGCAAGTGACCGAAATTCCCAGTGCGCAAGTGACTGCCCGGCCACGGGTGGATGGCGGTGGCAGCTCTGCAAAAACAAGCAAAACAACGTTCCACTTCCCCAAGTTGCTCAAGTCTCCAAATCTCTAAGAGAAAATGCAAGAGAGGACGCTACTAGGGGCTCCTGGCATCGCTACTAGGAGCAAGGAAGCTACTAGGGGTTGCTGGCCATACTACTAGTAACAAGAAGCTATTAGAGAAAATGCAAGAGACATGGAGATGTATTTTTTCATCGGCGCAGCTCCGAAGGTGTCAGCACGGAGGAGATCCTCGGCCCATTGCCTGTAGTAGCTTGGATAACTTTCAGCACTCGAAGCTTTGTTTCTAACATTGTTCCCAGTAGTGTGGCCAGGAGCCCCTGGTAGCTTCTTGTTCCTAGTAGCGATGCCAGGAGCCCCTAGTAGCGTCCATGTTTTATGAGAAACACGAAGCTTTCTCAGACTTTCAAAAGCTTTGGTAACCTCGAGGCTCGCTCTGAGAAATTTCTTTCTAGAAATATGCCGGGTCTTCTCGAGGCTGCAGTGTCACGGCTGGATAAGCCCACATCAGGCTGGCAGCTAGTAGTCTTTGCCTGAAGGTCTTCGCAGATGCGTAAAGGCTACGACGTGGGATGTAAGGTAAAGATGGTGAAAGCATCCAGCAAATCTGTTTAGGGGAAGGTCACAATTGGTGACGAAATCAGTTGAGCAGGTGTCTTGGTAGCAGCTCTTGGCGATGAATCAGCCTTTCACTTGGCAAGTGCACAGTTTGCTGCACAGCAACTTGGAAACGATTGGAGGAAGCTACTAGGAGCAAAGGGCATCGCTACTAGGAACAAGGACGCTACTAGGAGCTTTTTGGAGCTGACGCCCCAGGAGTCACGATCTGTCGCTTAAATCCAGCGGTGTCACCATAGTGTTTGGGATAGAAAGGAAGACTCAGACACAAACGGATAGAAGACAACTTCTCCCTGCCCGAGTTTCTGTTCTTGCTTAGGTCCGTCAAAAAGGAGTACATTTGCCTTTGCAACTAGGCTGAATGGTTTGCACATTTTGGCGGAAGAAGTCATGCATCACGATGCGAGTCGGCATATTGTGCATCGTTCACGCTTGACTTTGTTAAAGCACCGGATTCACTGTCCAAATCATTCCGATTTTGCTGGCATCTTTCCGTCGGTTTTTACAATTCCTTTTTGTGCCCAAGGCCATGGATTTTTGGGTCCACCTGGAGGACAGGGCCGCACAAAGCAAGCGCTACGGCGCTCTTCGCGTGGCCCCATGGAAGTGGCGAAAGGAGACGGACAAGACGCGGAGACGGTCTATGAGACTTGGATAAATCAAGTAGAATTAACTTAAAGTTAAATTAACTAATAGCTTCTTGTGACTACTAGTAAGGCACTTGTTCCTAGTAGCGATGCACTTGTTACTAGTCGCATTTAAGTGCCGACTCCACATTCTCGTGACAACGGACGCCTTTGCCTGGCCAAGGAGGTGCTGGAGGTCTTTAAAGGGCCCTACACATTGCTCAAGGTGCACGTCAGAGTTGAGATTTGTGAAGCTATTCAGATGTTTTGGTCGTGTGCATCTTAATGTTGGAGGATATTGTGTCCAGTTCTTTTTGCCCTCAGACTCTGCAAGGCTGTCACTTTTCACAGGTCACTTGTGAAAAAACGACTTGACGACTTTTCACAAGCTCGTTGTCAGCTTCCACAGGTCATTCCAAAGACCGGACGACGGCACCAACTTCGCTCCTTGGCTAGACACTTTGACACTTTTGAGGGTTGCAGTCCGCTACGAACGTAACAAAGGGCATCGCTACGAACGGAGCAAGGACGCTACGAAGGTAGCTCCTGGCCTTACTACTAGGAATAAGAAGCTACTAGTAACAAGGGCATCACTAGTCATCCAAGTCGTCCGAGTGCTTTAAGTCCACCTTTTCACAATTCGTCACAACTCGAGGAGTTCATCTTGCGAGCATGGGAAGGCACGTCGTCACGTCGTTTTCTTTCTCATGTTCCTTCTTTATCATTTTTTATCCCTTCTGCTTTTTCCTTCTTTCTCCTTCTTTCTCCTTCCACCCGCCTTTTTCGCCTTTCATTCTGCAGGCCCATTGTTGGAGATTTGCTTTATGGATCTGCGCCTTGGTTCGACCGGAGTGCCTCGAATCCGTGTGGATTCTCATCGGATCCAGGCTCGGGAGAACGACTGCGGTCTCTTCCTCCACTGCCAGTGCGTGGCCTTGCAAGATGCTGCCGGAGGCGTGCAAAAACACAGAAAGATGGCGAAAAGTTCGTTTTGGGCTACTAGTAGCTTCTTGTTCCTAGTAGTAAGGCCAGGAGCTACTAGTAGCTTCTTGCTCCTAGTAGCGGTGCCCTTTGTTACTAGTAGCTTCTTGTTACTTTGTATTCTTTTTACAACAAACCTCACCCTGCAGTCTTTCTTAAAGCATAGACTAGAGATGCACGGAGCGCGAAAAGAAATCTACTTGGAATTCCCCAACTGAAAGGATGCATTCAGAGCACCTCCTCTTAACTATATGCAGACCATCATCCTGAATTGGTTGAGAGAAAGTGGTGGGCAGGACAAGAGAGATAGACTTGCAGTACTGTAAGGGACTGAAAGATAAGAAACGCCGTGCAGGGGACTTCGTCGTGGAAGCGCCGTTGCCTGCAGAGCTTTGCAAGATCCTGGAGGGTCTCAGAGAGAGCCAAATGTCTGGAAGTGATCCGGGAGCAGAACTCTGAGGGCGAAGCAGGGCGAAGCCCTCAACGCCCTAAGCCAGGCTTAAGCAGCGAAAGCCCCCGCCGAATGCCAGGCAGAGAGGCACTGAGGAGCTGAATTCAAAGAAGCGGGAATTGACAAAGAGAGGCGCAGGTGACGTCATCATTCTTTGCTGTGTTCTCTATTGAAACAAGGGAAAGTCATTTTGCCACTCACACATCAGCACGCACCATGTGCGTTTACAGCTTCTCACAACGAAATCTTTCGTGGACACGGCCTGAGGCTGCAGGGGGAATGCTCAGCATGGAGGCAGAAGGGAAGTCCCAGCAAGAATATGTACGAAATAGTCAAAGCCAGATTCCTTGATTTCAATTTGTTTCAATCACCTTTTCAAACAACTAGGAACAAGAAGCTACTAGGGGCTCCTGGTCGTACTACTAGGAGCAAGGACGCTACTAGGGGCTCCTGGCATCGCTACTAGGAACAAGAAGCTACTAGGGGGATGATTTCATAATTCAAAACCGGCTGAATTGCGGGGAGTCACGGATCGACTGGCTATTCCATGTTCCGGAAGATTACAGGTCGGTCAACTCCTTCAACAGAGTACAATGTGGCGAATGTGGTCTTGGTAGGACAAGGACAATGTAAGACAATTTGGTGATTGCTGTGCGATGCCCTTTGTTTCTAGTAACTTCTTGCTACTAGAAATGCCAGGAGCCCCTAGTAGCTTCTTGTTACTACTAGTAAGGCACCTGTTACTACTAGCGTGGCACTTGTTACTACTAGCTTCTTGTTACTACTAGTAATGCCAGGAGCTACTAGTAGCGTCGAGTTGGAGGCACAAGACCTGATTGCAGCAGATGTTGGCCACGGTTATGTTTCAAGGCTTGGCACAGGTTTCGCGGTCGAGGTTGAAAACGATTCGATCTCTACCTATAGAAGATTCCATACCTAACCTAGTGATGGCCTCGATCACCGGAGTTTAAATGGAGTTTAGATTGAATTTGGTTCGTTTGAATTTGCCCATCCCTGCCGTGGCCAAGATGCCATACAAGGGTTTGTTTATATCCAACTTACCGATCAAGCTGTGCTGGTTGTTCTTCCATCGAACCGGTTTGTCACGATGGAAAGGTGCTTTGTCAACATGATTCAGCACCCTCTTGACATGAACTAATCCCATGTTTTTGTGTTTGTGGTTTGTTCACCATTGAGGCTATGGCAGGCGGAAAAGCCACTGACTGTGCTCAGTGATGATGTGCCTTGGCAAGCACCGGCTTGCTGAACAGACCAATCACCAACCTGCACCAAGAGATCAAGGGTTTGGTGACCAGATCTAGACACAGGGTGATCACGTTGAGCGCTGCGTGTCACGGCAGTTTGGCGCTCTACAACCTACACCTCTACAACTGTTCACGCCTGTGACACCAAATGGCCTCCAAACCTAATAGCGATGGCCTCCAACCTGCATCTGAACTGTCCATGTACAGTAACTAGAAGTGGGAAGTTCAGAAACTCTCAATTATCGTGTGTCAACTTGTGTTGTCCTTTTTTGTTCTTTTCGAGAAAAGTACCTCGCTGGCAACTCTGAGGTGCAGCCGTGGATTTTCCATGTACCACTTCAAGCAGTAAGGCTTGGACCCAAAGCCGCAGGAAACGGAAGAGAGAGGCGGTTCGAATCTAGTCAGACCAACCCTTACTGTTCGGGACGCCTTGGGACATGGATGTGGCAGATGTACAACATATTTACCCAACCTACTAGCGATGGCCTCCAACCTAATAGCGAACTGCCATGCTTGATTTCCAAGTAAGTGTGCCATATTATACATACTATAATACTATATACACATTATATATATAATATACGATGTACTGACGCACGATCCGGTGAAAGCGTCAGCTGTCAGTCACTCTGGACTGCACATACTCAAAACCCCTGTACAAAGTTAATTCCTTACCCGTTGATCCCTTTGCATCCCTTTGCCCTTTACAACCTGCAGGAACGCTTTGAACGAAAGTTACACTAGAAACCATGGAAGGACTCTCTGTGAAAACAACTTGGAGTGGAGACCCAAGGCGGATGGAGTTGAAGATGCAAGAAGCTCAGGAGTTCAGGAAACCGACAGGGAGCCATGGAGACCATTGCTATTAGGTTGGAGGCCATCGCTCTTAGGTCGGAGGCCATTGCTACTAGGTTGAAGGCCATTGCTGTTAGAACCTAATAGCTAATGCTTAGACTTGCAACTTGCGCTGCTTGCACTCGCTTGCTTGCGTTCCTGGAAGATCTTTCATCACGCTTCATTTCTTTTCGATGGCCTCCAACCTAAGAGCGACTGCCTCCAACCTGATAGCAAACTGCCATGCTTCATTTCCAAGTGTGCCAGTCTTTTTTCATCTTTTCTTGTTGCCAAAGCAACCAATCTGAATACTGGAGGCCGACTCCATCTTCTCCGTCACGGCGCGAGGGGGATATCTCCACCGAGTCAACCCATATCCAGTTCCTTTTTCCCAGAGCAGAATGGTCAGATTTGATGAGCACATTTCATACATTTTCTACATCCCTCAGTTCCGCAATTGGCCCGATGTGAGCCAGTTCAGGCGAAGCGAGAGCAAGTGCCGGACAGGTGGGGCGCCTAGCTCGCCCGAATTCAGATTGACCGAAACAGGAGTTGAGGACGCTACTAGGAGCAAAGGGCATCGCTACTAGGAGCAAGGACGCTACTAGGAGCTCCTGGCCTTACTACTAGGAGCAAGGACGCTACTAGGAGCAAGAACTTCAAGCATGAGTTTCTTCATTCATTTGCCCAACATGCCAAGGCCATGCAGAGGCGACAGAAGATCGACCTGCTTGGAGCTTGGAACTCCGATAAGCAAAGTCTTCAAAAAAGCGTTGTAAAGCGGACACCTTTCTTCGCTAGTAGAGGATATCCAAGGCCAAGAAAAGCGTGATAAAGCGTGTGTTTCCTGCGTCAGGTTATCATCCAACTAGTGCATCGAAGAGTACGAACGGCCACAATCTTGGAGCAAAACCTCGGAATGAGTGTTTGATGAGAATCCAAGTCTTTCTTCGAAGCAACCTTTTTTCAATGTCTTTTTCATGACAAAAGACATGATATAGTCTTTTATTTTTCTAGTTTTCTTGCTCTTTTTCTTGACAAGTTTCTTGCTTGGACTTCGTCGCGGAATTCGGAAACGTGACAATGAATTGACAAAACCAAAAGGACACAGGAATGAACAAAGAAAGAGTTCCAAAAAATGAAGAGTCGCAAGGTCAAGCGCTACTTCTACAACCCATACAAGTCTGAATCTTATCCTATAGCTTTCCAGACAAGCTTGGCCACATACTGTAATTAGTCCTGTACGAGGATAATACCTCGCAGGCACAGACTAACATGATTCCTGTCTTTGGCCATACGGTTGTCATACATTGTTCTTTGGTTGAAAGGCCAGGGCATCGTTAGTAGGTTGGAGGCCGTCACTAAAAGGTTGGAGGCCATCGCTAGTAGGCTGGAGGCCATCGCTAGTAGGGTGGAGGCCATCGCTATTAGGTTGGAGGCCATCGCTGGTAATTAGTTTGGAGGCCATCACTAGTAATTTGGAGGCCTTTGCTCTTATGTCTAAGTTTTCTTTTTTCTGACGGCTGTGCAGAGATTTGATCCTCTTCAGAACATGAATCATCGCACTCTCGCAGGGCAGAACTCTTCTCATCGCCAGTGGCGCTTCAGCTTCCTAATCGCTGCGGGTGGCCCAGGGCACTTGCGGCACAACGTGATCAAATGGGCCATGAAATGCAAGCTGGTTGTCAACTTGGCACCTCCAGTCAGTGGAATCTCGTGTTGACCCAAAGACGCAGAATCCAAACCTAGGCAGTCACGGATCACGGATCACAACGGACAGATTCTGCCAGTTTTTGGGCTAGGTTGGAGGCCATCCGCGTTTCGCTCAGGTCCAGGCTGGCGGCTCTATGCATCCGCATGGCTAGCGGTGCGACGCGCTCTTCCCGAATCGAGACGCGCTCGTTTTGATATGTTTCGTTCAATCTCAGATCTTAGGAATTCAAACTTGGCTGCGCTGAAACCGAACATTTTTGACAGCTGAATTCTCCTTGCAGCCCTTTGCAAGTCAAGCTAGCTGCTTTGTGCTGCGGGCAATGGCAACTTGGATCGAGATTGAGCTAAGTTGCGATTGCTTTTAAGGATGATGTTTCTCTTACAAATAATATGCTTAGTAGGGTTGCTTTGTGCACTCTGGGAGTTGGAGCTTGCCAAGTGCATAAGCCTGTTTTTAGGTGATCATTGGTTCAGGTTCAATTTTGCATGTTTAGGCTGTCTTCGCCAATACCAGCATCACCATCAAGGCGGCCCTTTCAGGAAGAACGCTCTCATTCTGTTTTATTTCTCCCTCTGAAGGAAAAAGAGCTGATATTGAATTGGGTCAAAACTATCCCACAAATATACCGATCTCGTTGCTTTACAGTTTTGGCAACGGGAGCGGCCAGGTGCTAGAACCACGGCAAGGCGAGAAGCCAGCTGAAGGCCAGACAACTCAAGAAAGTCGTCAAGCAAAGTTCTGAAAACAGTTCTATTAGGTTGGAGGCCATCGCTATACTAGGTTGGAGGCTATTGCTTGTAGGTTGGAACCATTGCTAGTAGGTTGCTAGTAGGTTGGAGGGCATTGCTAATTTTTAGATTCCTTTTGCTATTGGGCTGGAGGCCATAGTCCCAATAATTATAGTCCCTGAATTCGAGGTGGTGACTACTACTGGGGCATGGTGGACAAAGCAGCGCCAAAGGACATGTGAAGAGCCAAATGTTGGATGGCCTTGTAGGCTCTACCACTAGACAGTCGTAGACTCAAATAAGATGATTGATTTAATTCTTTTCAATCCTAAAACAAGGCCGTCAGGACACAAATGAGTTTGCGGCTTTGCTTTCTTGGACCCAGAAGGAGGCCCAATGGCCAAGATCAAGCGTCGTGGTCTTTTAGCTGAGGATAGAACTGATTAGAATCACACGTAGATTTGTATAAGCAGGATATACTAAGGAGAGTTGGAAGTTCTCTCAAAAGGACCCATTTCATAAAGACCTGACGCAGTCGACAGCATGTTTTAATACTCTTTCATTTTTTTGTCAGTGATTCAGGATGTCTTTTCGGTGAAAGCAGCCGGCACGATGAAAGTGAAAGAGCTTAAGGCGGCGATCGCCAAGGAGAAAACAACCGCATTACATCGCATTGCGCATCGCATTGCGCATCGGAACTACCCCAATTCGGTGGTCGTCTACCTCGGCCCTTGATCAGACCCCAATTCGGCCACGCCAATTCGGTCTCAAACAAGAAGCTAGTAGAAACAAGTGCCACGCTAGTAGTAACAGGTGC